AAAAGTAAAGTGAGACTCATCTTGAATATTTGTCTGAAGGAGATAAATTCTTTCTTATATAACATAAGAATAATAAATCTCTTTATTATTATTGTAGAATCTAAGCCGTTATTCTTAAAACATATATATATATATACAAGGAAAAGTGTTTATCCTTTTGAATGACACAACTTATATCATTTCATTCTCACAAAGAGGTGGGACCCACATCTTTATTTTTTTTGTCAACTCTCTCTCCTCCTTTATCTATCTCTTTCTCTTTCTTAAAATGACACAACTTTACATCACACACATTTTTCCAATATATATATATATATATATATATATATATATATATGGGATATGATATTGTGACAACCAAATAATGTTACCACCAATGTTACTACCACATCTTAACCGTTGATTTCCGCCAATCAACGGTTATCATTTTTCAAATCAAACTCATTAATTAATTATTAATTCGCAATAAATGATAACCGTTGATTGACGGAAATTAACGGTTAAGATGTGATAGTAACATTGATGGTAACATTATTTGGTTGTCACAATATTCTATCCTTATATATATATATATATATGAGGCAGGTTATACTTACAATCTTTTTTTTTTACAACATCTTACAACCATATCTTAACACCATTGATTTTCGTCAATCAACGGTTATCATTTTTTTGAATTAATAATTAATTAATGAGTTTAATTTGCGGAAATCATAACTGTTGATTGGCTGAAATCAACGGTGTTAAGATATGGTTGTAAGATGTTGTAAAAAAAAGTTGTAAGTATAACATTCCTCTATAAATAAATAAATAAATATTTATTTATTTATTTTGTAAATAAAACATATATATTATGGGTTTTATAAGAGTTATGTTGTAGGAAAAGTGATTGTGTAATGTTATAGAGATTCGTTTTGCGTGCCTTAATTTTTTATTTATTTTTTTGTTTTAAAAAGTGTGGGCCCCACAAAATGTTGTGAGTGTAGGAAAGTTTGTTGTGTTATGTTAAAGGATAAAACGAAAACCCATATATTATTGACGTGAACTTTTAGCTCTTTTTCACGGTTAATAGAATGAGTTTATAAACACCAAAAAAGGACATTTCCTCTCAACTTCTTTATCTTTCAAATTGTCAAATATAATTTCATCTCAATTATACTCATTAAAAGTACAATTCGATATAATGTTATTAAAATTAAAAGTTAACCTTTTATTTTATTATCAATTAATTTTAAGGAGAAATCCATATCATTTCATCATTTTGTTATTTTTAATAATTAAAACAAAAACCAATCAAATAGAAGTTACACTTTCTTTTTTTTGGAGTTACCTAACCCTAATTATCTCTTTGAGACGAGTTGGCTCCCTCCGGTATCCCCACGAGCTTCGACTCTTTGAGCCGGCTATGGGACTAATCCGGAGTGCGGGGGAACAGTGATGGCTAAAGGTTCAGCCCCCTCCCCAAGAATGCATTCAGCGGGAATCGAACACATATCCAACCCCACTAACTCAGCGTCAAGTTACCAACTGAACTGCACCCATTGGGTTAGAAGTTACACTTTCTTTATCTTTCACTCAAATTTTCTTTTTATCAATGTCTTTTTTATCATTTTGTAATTTTTAAAAAAATATCTATTTACAATGATAGAAGAATAATAAATCGTATACTTAATTTTAGTCATTGATTTTATTTATATATAATGATTTTACTTTATTAATCATATAAAAGTAAAATTAATGTTTGAATTTGAGTATAAGACTTACTATTCTTATATTAATATAAGTTTGTTGTAAAATATTATTGATGACCTTTCACATGTTTCGTAATATATGATTTTTTTTTGTTTTTTCTTACCTTTGATGTATTCTATAACTATCACATTAATAATGTGTTGAATTGTAATTATTCCCCTAATTATATTTAGAGTGACATGTCTTAGATGAAAAAAATGTGTGTTTGGTGAATTTAGAATATAGTGACATTTTCTTACCTTGAAGAGTTTATGCTTGTTCCTATCCTTGTTCTTTCTCTCATATTACCAATCAATTTCATAACAAAGTTAATTTTTTCCCTTATAAAGATGTTATTTTATGTGCACACATATGTATATTTATTTTTTAATAATTTTTCGACATTTTCTATCAACTCTTTAAACTATGTACATGCTAGTTAATTACGTTATTCAAAATTGTAAAAATATAGAAATAAGGTCCGGTCTTAAAAAGAAAAGTCATTCTAAGTGTCTGTTTGAGAGCTCTTATTTTTAAGTTCTCTTAATTTTACAAAAACTCTTATTATTAATTTTTTATAATAAGAAAAAAAAAAGAAAAAGCTAAAAACTTACCGAATGAGCTATTTTAATTAAGATATATGTCACCGTTTTGAAGTTCTTGTATTTATTTTTTAATTTTACCTTTGTTATAAACTTGTATTTATGAACTTTACCACTTACCCTAATATCAAATCATTTCATCTCTTTTCCTTCAAAACCCTTAGCATAATTTTATATTATTACCAAATAAATTTTAGCTTTATTTTTTAAGCTCCTTTTTTAATTTTATCTTGAAAAACAATGTCAAATAGGATCTAAGTTATTGATGTTAATCCGATAATTAAAATTAGGATTTAAAAAGTTTCTAAAATTACTTTAGATAATCTTATCTAATGTTCACCAAAATACACACATAAAAATATACGTGACCCATAATTTTTTTCCTCTATCTTTTCTTCACATGGACCCTACACATTTTTGTGTTTGTATTTTGGTGAACATTAGATATATAACGTTATCTAAAATAACTTTAGAAATTTTATACCCTTACAATTATTACTTGTTTAAATCATAAATATATATATTTATGGCAACCAAAGAAATATTGATTGTAGTGGTGGAGTTAGGGTGTGTCAGAGGGGCGATTGTCCCCCCTTCAAATTTATGCAAACATTTGTATTATACCTCATTCATATTTAAGAGAAATGTAATGTAGTATATGTATATCCCCCTGAAGGTTAGCCTTCAAGTTTTTATTCATATTATTTTTCGGGTACACAGTAAACTTGAAGAATTCTTTAAATATTATTACATATTGGTCCATTATCGTATAATCCTATCTTAATTAAATGTGAATTTTGATTCCTTCGCCTTCCCACAAAATTTTTGCGCATTTGCCATTGATTATAGTACGGGATAATTCCATTCTCATATACTTAAAATTAATTAATGGAAGGAATGTATAATTGATTATTGTATTCATAAAACAATAACTTATGATATAGACCTAGGGTTGGGCTCGTGGTTATCATTTGGAAACTTGAATTTCTTATTTTATTTTATTTTTAATTTATATAACATGTTGTTGTATGTGATGTGATATTTGCAGCAGTTATTTTTTTATAGGTTGAACAGATATTGTGTTAGGAATATAAACAGATCTTCACATCCATCTCCCCTATTACTATATTAGATAAAATTTTGGGGTCAAAATGAATTTTTCACATTAATAAAAAATCTGTAAGTGTACATGATATTGGGGTTTGCATTTTTGAACTTGTTATGAAAACATTCATGTTAATATAAGATTTACGTTAATTATAAATTTTTTATGCAATTTAATTTTTTTCAAAAAAAAAAAAAAAAGAGTTGAATACTTGCCGCTATATTCTCAGATATTCTGTAAAGTGACTATCTGTACTAGTCATTCTATTTTGTCTCGTTGTCGTGGCCTTTTTCATCTTATGTTGAGGCATAGAATATGTTGGGAACCATGAAATGTAAGCAAGGGACTCGAATGCCTGCAAAATGATACTGAGAAACCATGTGGCATGTGAAGAAGTTTTTTTTTTTTCTTTTTTTGGAAATGAAAAAATGTTAGAGATATATAAAACTTTTATTGTAATCTCACCCAATAGTTTAAGTTTTTGGATTGAATTAATATAATATATATCAGAGTTTTACGAATTCGATCCTTACTGTCCCAGTTTAATTAATAATTAATCAAATTTTATACAGTTTCTTAACACAGATAGGTGAAACTATGTATTGGTAATATAGCTTCACCAACAGAGTTTAATGTGAAGAAGTTTTACACGGAAGTTTCTGACTACTGCTCCGTATCTTTTAACTTCCATTTCTCGCTGCAATAATTTTGAACTTTATGACAGCAGCTCTGTCATTCCCTATTTCTTTTTCTCCCTTACACTCCTCCTGTGATTCTATCCTATCAGCTTTGTATAGGCCAATGTTTGATATTAAGGGTAGGGTATATATATATATATTGTATTTTATGAATGTGGTCTGTTTCCCCACTCTTTTCTTACTGTTGATTGTCCTTCCAACACAATTTTCAACAAACATATCAATTTTGAGAATCTAAATTAAGAATAGACAAATGAAAAATTCTAAAAACTTCAAACAATGTATACAAACCAAACCATAGTTTCTTCTGTTGATATGATTATACAGTCCAAATTTATATAATAAATTATACAGTCCATTTTCATTTTTGAGTGTACGTACGGATTTAATCTCACTTTTTCCTTCAATCTTTCAGATTTTATATCCAACTAACTTTCAAGCGTGAGAAAGTTAGATAGAAGAAGCTTCTACTGATGCCTATGACGGCAGATGAGTGTATTCACTTATGATTTTTCTTTAATTTTGCATTAATTAATCTCCACTCACTAAAACATAGGTAAAATTTAAACTATATGTTGTCCCTCCCCTTAATTAAGGCACATGCAATTTGAAACCCATAAGCTCATTTGGATTCTTAGGAAAACTTTAGTGACCAAATAATTTGTGGGGTGGAGACCTACCTAGGGTTGAGGCCGGCTTCGTTTATTTTAGGTCTTCCCTAGTAAGAATAATGAATTTATGTATATCGATCATATATATATATATATATATATATATATATATGGAACGGACGTGACACATTCCTCTCAGCCAACATAGGATCTACTTTCTCTTACGTTCGAAACAAGTTGCATACATTGAGACATGGGAAGGAGTCCTTGTTGTTCTAAGCAAGGTTTGAACAAAGGAGCATGGACAGCTATAGAAGACAAAATTCTCACAGAATACATAAAGATTCATGGCGTAGGAAAATGGAGACACCTGCCCAAAAGAGCAGGTAAGATTATATTTCTTTCATATATATATATATATATATATATATAGTTTCATAGATACAATGTTGGAAACTAATGGGATTAATTTCAACTAACATATAATGGTTTCATGCAGGTCTCAAGAGATGCGGGAAAAGTTGCAGGCTAAGATGGTTGAATTATCTAAGGCCTGGCATTAAAAGAGGAAATATTACTAGCGATGAAGAGGACCTTATTATCAGGCTTCACAACCTTCTTGGAAACAGGTCCATCGTCACTTTATCATTTTATTAAGAGAAATTCCTAAGGTGTTCTCGAATAAAAAAAAAATCTCACTATCTATATATATAATTTCAGTTATATAAATTATTATTATCATGTCTAGCCTTAACTTCATTTTTGATATTATAATAAAATTAATACATATTTCAATGACACCACTCAGCAAGAAAAAAAAAAGCGATGAATTGAAGTATATATGAATTCAGGCTTTTTATCCTTCTGATGCAGAATCTATTTATCATTTTAATTCTTTTAACAAATTATTTATTAATCTTAATGCAAGTGAAACACATATAAAAATTATGTGTGTTTAAGTTACACATCATTCTTGTAAGTGTCTTATGCAAAAGCCAGAATGATCTGCCGTGCGCTCAACTTGAGCGTGCACTGTCAGAGTATGTGTTTTGCATTACACTAGCTAATTTTTGCACAAGTCTCATATAGAGGTGATGCGCGACTTAAATACGCACACTCCCTCTCGATTTACACGCATTAAATTGATAAGTAGTTTAAAAAATATCTATTTAAACGTATAGCATGTCTTGGATTCTGCATAAAAAGGGTCAAAAGGCCAAATATTCATTGTATATTTGTATGTACCATAGAGGTATCATAGAATTGTCTTAAAAATAAACTTACGATAAAACGATACTTATTAATTTTAGGTGGTCCTTGATTGCTGGACGGCTTCCAGGACGAACAGACAATGAAATCAAGAACTACTGGAATACCAATATTGGAAGGAAACTTCGAAATGTTACCCCAAACAGTTCCATTATGAGTGGTTCACGAAGCTCATTGCACTCAGCTCAAGAAGATCCTAACCTCAAAACTCAAGAGTGGAACTGTCCTTACCCACCAAATAAGGATTCATGCGTAGTTCATCCTAAAGCAACAAGATGGACTAAGGTCACAGTACTCACTAGAGAAATTATTCAACTAAATGAGAATATTGAAGGGATCAATGTCGGTGATAACAAGATGAAGGGATCACCAGTGTCAGTGTCACCATCTTCAGAGTGTAACATTGATCCATTGGATTTCATGGAAGATTTTGAGATGGATGGCAATTTCTTTTCGGAGCTCCTCAAGATGGATTTTCCTGAACCATCATTTTTGGAAAATAAGATAATGGAAGACAATGGTAACCCTAGCTTAGTCGACAAGGGCCATAATTTGTGTCCAAAATCATACAATGATGCCCACTTCCCTTGGGGTAATTCATTGTATGATACAGATTTTGATTTTCAATCAGTGGCTACTTATATGGAGTCCGGATTTGATTGGCTTTGAATTAAAAAAGATTAAGATTAAATTGAGTGTGTGTTTGTATTTAAATATTTATTTATTTCTTAAGAAAGGTTTAATGATATTTTGTTTGGCCGACAAGGTTTCTTTGATTGTAAAATAAGCTAATATTGCATAATTTTTTCTTATCATTGATAATAATTGATTAAACTCAAGAGTAGTAACTATTATTTTATTGTAAGGAATTGAAGTGTGAGCGATGAAAATCTCATATCGAGAAAAAATGAGATATATAGAGGGAACATATAACATGATGTTTTAAGATTTTGAATTTAGATATAGTGTTAGATTCATGATTTAGTTGCTTAGGTCTATTCATTCGTAGGAAGTGGTCTCGCTCCCTTTACCGCTGGATTACATCTCTTTGAAGATATGCTTAATCTTCTTGGAATCCTTAAGCCGCTTTATTCGTGTTTTTATTTGTATATATTTCATATTTTAGATTATCCTCTCTTTTTATACCAAGTTATACATTTTCTTTGTAACAAATAAACAATAATTGATAAAAAGAAATAGTTTCAGTTTTCTGTAATTAAATATATAGCCTTAATTTTTATTTTTATTTTGGCTTTTTGTCCCCTTCTCTCCCATTTTTTAGGTAATTGAGTCTGCTAACTTGTGTAGTGGACGATGTGAGGAGAATAAAATGACGTTAAACAGAGATGTATTATAAAATATTAAAATTGACTAGTTAATAATTTTTGGTTGAAAATGATTTTGTTTTTAATTTTTTATTATAAAATTAAGAATATTTCCTGGTTGGGTTATTAATCATCTAGTAATTGGTCCTTTGAAAAAAGGAATTCCTTACCTTTTTTATGAAATGACAAGTGTGTTGCTACTGGGGAAGAACTGATAAAAGGATTTTTTTATGCATAAAAAAAAAGGATTTTTTTTTTTTTTTAATTATCCTTGTCCAGCAGCATCCATTATGAAGCTTTCAAGCAAATGTGACTACTCCAGCAGCGGCATCACGAATGGAGGAAGAAAAAAAAACACTAGCCAAGAAGAACAGTTTCTCCAACTTATAGTTTGTTATGACCGTAAAGTTGCATGACAATCTCAACTAATAAAAACCTATAAGAAGTGTAGCTATATAAACCCGTGAAATCTACCAAATATATGTAATTGAACTTTGAAAACATGAATTTAATTTTCTTTATTATTATTATTATTATTACAGAGTTTCTAAAATAAAACAATTTCCGATTCATACAATTTCCGATTCATCCAATTGAGTTTCTAAAATAACCAATTAACAAGTGTAATCTTCTAACTAAAATAATTATTCATTAAATCGTGTCATCATGATTGTATTATGTTTTAATATTTTTTCACGGCAGTGCTTCTTTACATGCTCTCTTGGAGCTCATTTATTAGGCTCCGGGAGCTTGTGCTCTTTTTCCAAAAATAAAAGGAAAAAGGGATTGGAAGGAGATTTAGAAGGAAGAAAGGGGTATAAATAGAAGAAAATATTTTCTTTTTTGATAAAGGATCATCAAATAGTATTGTGTTCTTGGAACACATTAAAAAATCTACTCTCTTGATATAATGATTGAACCCTTAGTGAAGCTAGAGAGTCAAATATATAATTTCAAGGGGTGGGCTAGTTAATTTGGGGTGTCTTTGATTGCAATAACATGAATGAAGGCTTGTGTATAATAGTGGGAGGCGATGTAGAATAGCTATAATGGCTGTCCAAGTTGATAGAGTAACCGCACATCTAAGTAGTAATATTATGTGTGTTATGGTGGTGGGTGGGTGGGTTCTTAGGATCCAAACTATTGGGGGAATGAGCCAAGTCAACTTTGCATAGACAAGGTACTTCTTGACAACAATTGTTGTACAAAGGAAGTTGTGAGGGAAGAGTTTTCAATAAGTTATTTTGGGTGCCTAAGAAGGCAAAAGGAAAGGGGGAGTCCGCCAATGTAAGAGATTCTGGTGTCTTACGTTGGAAAGCATGGTTACTCTGACATTGCTAGGTAAGTGGAGAAAGGGTGGCATGGGCCTTTTGGTTTCGGGCCGGTCATATTGGGTCAGCCAACTGGGCCGGCCAGAACAATGATGATGATATACTATTCGACATTCAAAAAATTAATAAGCGATTAGAATAAATAATATAATTAGAGTTAAATACATATTTGAGGGTGATAATTCTATTTTTTCATCTTTTTGTTTAATTTTTTCTCAATTTTAATATTAAACTGTATATGACCCTAACTTAGAAATAGTAAATTAAACTTCTTTTAACAAGGAATTTATTATAAAAAAAATTATTGCACTTTTTAAAATTTGATAGTCAAAATAACCTTTAATTTAACAAGGTAAATTAAAATTGAAATTTTTCTTAATGTGTGTTTAAAAATGAGAAGCTTAAGATTATAAAATAATTTCAGAAGATGGCAAAAAACGAAGTTAGTAAACTTTTAAGATGGAAAGGTTGAATTGAAACTCTTGATCTCCGCCGTTCATTTTCTACGCTAAATGTCAACTATCTGAAAATAATTTTTTTTTAAAAAAAAAAGAAAGAAAGAATAAGAATTGAGGTATCAACTATCGACCAACGAGAAGAAGAAAGGGATTCAAGGATTGTAGAGAAAGGGCAGTGATGGCTGCTGAGTCGCCAAGTTCTGTTCGTAAAGGTTAGTTCTTTATTTTTTTATTTTTTATTTTTTTTTATTCTGAAAATTGGGTTTTGGTCTTTGTGGCAGTGGTTGTTCATCTCAGAGCCACCGGTGATGCTCCTATTCTGAAGCAATCAAAATTCAAGGTATTCCTTTTTCAACTTCCTCTTTAATGGGTACTTTTTAATTCTCGTAATTTCTCATCCAAAATTGTTAATTGATGCCCATTTGTTTGCTTTCCTTTTTGTTCTGTTTTTTTTGTTTTACATCAGTTATGCTATATTTGTTTCAAATTCAAGCCTCTCAGTGAGAGAGATTGTGATTGAATCTGAATTGATGATGTAGATGATCTTGTGTCTTGTGTTTGGATATCTTATGGTTTTCAATGAAGTGGTTGTGCAAATTTTTATTATTGGTTAGGTACTTAGGTTAACCCATATTAATCTTTACATCTCAAATTGAAGATCATACCTGAGCCTGCATTTAAATTTTCCAAGACGGAAGTGATCATATTCTAGATAAATACACATTGTAGGATTTACCGTGAAAAATTCAATGAGTAAAAAGGTAGTAACTGAATGGCATTGCAATTTGATTTAGGGATTCCAATTTTTTATTCTTTTGAGCTCTAGAGGCTGTCAATGGTATTTTCGAGGACTGTAAATGAGGATTACCCAGTTCGGTGAAGTGAATTGAGACTGTTCTCGGAGTTTTAAGTTTTCTTAGTTCGTGCTGCCTTCTGCTGGAATTGTTTTGCTGTGGTAACAAAAGCAGTGATGCCTTTTCTTAATGTGGTTGCTTTGGATGTGAGGGAAAGCAGGATGTTTGAAGCGCTTGATAGTCATGGGGAGAAAAATACTAGATATCAATTACTTTGAAGCATACAAAATAATGTTCTTGTTTCACAGTTCTGTTTTTGGATGTTACTGATAAAAAGATAGGTGTTGAGCTTCTGAATCACGTTAAACAGTTTAACTATATGAAATATCAATACAAGGGGCCCTGCACCAATATTGTTGTATATGATTGTTTCTTTCTTTCTTTCTTTTTTCATATGTTACTTCCCAAATATATTCTGTTCTTAGTCCCTTTACTGTCTACATTAGGAGTAATACAAATAATTACTCCAGGGAGCTTTCTCAAATACTGGCTAGCCATTGCTCAATTATACCTTTTCACCACATATGCAGTTCAGTATTACGGTGAACAAATTTTTAGTTGAGTTACTTAACCATGCCAATTTATTGTTACAACAAACTACAACCAAGCCTTATCACACTAGGTGGGATCAGCTACATGAATCAATACATGCTATCGGACTCTATCAAAAACCTAATTTTCAGTCAAACTAGTCTGATATGACTGGACTACCTTCCATTTGATTTGCATAGTCCTATCCATATTAGTCTCTGTCTAATTGAGATTACACTCCAATTTTCATGCTGGTAATGGTAAAGAAGGGCACATACATTTTCTGTATGGATTTTCTGTGCTTGATGCTAGTATGAATATACAACTTTCTCAAATATGGAAAATGCAGGTTTGAGGTGCATGAATATTAAACTAAAATGTTTTAGACACAAGTCTGAAAGTCATTATTTTGAGGGGTGCTTGCAAAAGTTTATTGAGCCTGATTCTATGATGATATGTACGCTTACTTTTTGAAGTGTAAAAAAATTCTATATATATATTTGATATGGCAGATAGCAGGAACTGATAAATTTGCCAAAGTGATAGACTTTCTTCGCCGGCAGCTCCACAGGGAGACATTGGTAAACAATCATATGTATTCTACTCCGGTCTTGTTCTCTAAAGGTTCTGCATGCTCAGTTTTTGTTTTCTGGTTTTGCAGTTTGTATACGTCAATAGTGCTTTTTCACCAAACCCTGATGAATTGGTCATTGATTTGTACAATGTAAGAAATTACTGGATCCCTTTTTCCATTAATTTTTATATCTTCCTTGAATGTAATGATGCATATTCTGATTCTGGTGCTGAAGTTGCTAATATTTCATGTTTATGATTATACTTGTCTCTTCTTTGTTGTAGAAAAACAGTGGAGGAAAAATTGTACGTTTATGCCTTATGTGCGTGTGTTAAATGAAAGTAAAATGATAACAATAAAATTTCAGTATTTGTTAAAAGTTGCTTTAAAATTTTTGTGGCCATCTTTTTGTTTTGTAAAATAGATAAAAGGCATTTTCAGCTCTCATAAGTTAATTTTCAAACTCAAAAGGGGGAATGAAATTAAGGATCATGGTAAAATCTTGAATTAAGAAATCCGATGTCCATTTTCTTTCCTTTCAATTTTCTTTTTTTGATTTCAAATGATTCCGTGGCCTACTTGATGAAGAAAGTTGCAAGGTGGCATTTAGACCACATGGCGGAATTCATGTTAAAGTGAATTCTCCTACAGATGAATTTGCTTTTGAAGAAAAGAGACAAAAAGAAGAAAGTATCTAATTGCTTGTCTTGATTGATGTTTTTAATGTCATGTATAAGTATGCAAGTGTGCTTAGCATTTCTTTCATTGTTGGTAAATATCCTGCTTTTGCTAGGTCAACCTTTTCTCCTTATATGTATTATATCTATGTTGTAATATTGTATTTTACAAATGTTTAGGGGGGGGAAATATGCTAGAGTAGTATGGCTGTCAATATTCTAATTACTGTGTAGATTGTTTTGGTATTGCTTTGGATAATCTAATTATGTTGTTTATTTATAAAGTTGTGTCATTAAGTTTGTTCCTTTCTCTTGTGGCCGTCTTGACTTTTCAGAATTTTGGTTTTGATGGCAAATTGGTGGTGAACTACGCTTGTTCCATGGCATGGGGCTAACTCTGAATGATGGTTGCTGATTATAAATGCTCCATATTGTGAATACATCTTTGTTTGCTCAAATTGTTGGGCGGCTGCATATTTCAGCAGAAACTCGGAATTTTAATACAATCATCAAAGTACACGATTTCTTTTTAACTTGAAGATTTTTCCAAGATGGTAATAGAACAAAACCAACACTGGAATCTCCACGATTTATTGGTTTTAAATTCTTTTTGGGGGGCGTGTCCATACATTCAAAGCATATTGGAGTCACCCTTTTGGGTTTATTCATGTCTTGATAGTTATGGATGATTATGGCTGAGAGACTTATACTGCTTTTTGAAGTGTTAATTCTTCAGTTGTTAAATCTGTAATCATTATCATGTTGATGGCTTCAGCCAATATTTTTTGGAATTGTACATCTTAATAGTAAGACTTTCGCAGCTTCACATCCGTTCATTACTTGGTCAGAGGCGTTCCATCTGAGAGCAGCAATCGTCCTGCATTTATATAGTTTGATTTATATTGTAGTGATGACCCTTATTTCATGCGAATAGCCCAGCTAGCAAAAGCCTTAATTATGGCCCATTTGATGATGAATATATATTATGATGCTATTTTATACGAGGTAGGATCATTTGACACCAGTGTCAAATTTCAAATTTAACACCTCATCTGATAGCCGTTGGATAAAAAAAGATCAATGGTATCACATGCTTACAAATCAGAGTCGTTGATCTTTTTTAATCTAACGGCTTTCAGATGAGGTGTCAAATTTAAAATTTGACACTGGTCTCAAAGGATCTTACTTCATTTTATATTATTACTTTTGTTTATATATGTAGGGCCAAAGTTTTTGTTAAAAAAACGTCATCTACTAACTAGTAATAATAATTCAAACTTGCAAACGAGTACACCACAAAAATTGACTAGCGTGTTTCAGTCAATTCAACTGTCTTGAAGTAATTCATTAATGGTTGAACCACATTGAAGTGACTCACGACATATGTCTCTATGGGCTTGAATTCACTGGGATGAATAATAAGGCAGAAACAATTAGTTTTAGAGCATTTTTGGTGCATAGTATAGGATAAGGTTTGATAGTATAAGATCTGATTGAATTTTAATATTATTCAGCGTTTGACACGATATCGTATAAAATAATATATTGTATAAGATAATATCATCTAATATTTGATAATTCACTGTATAATACTATATAGGATAAAAATAAATATTTTTAATAAAAATATTCTTTAATAAAGAATTTATATAATTCTTCAAAAAATATTATATGATATTAATTTTTATAAAAATTTATTGATCAGTGTGTCCAAAACATAAATTAATTCTTATAAAAATAAAAATATTCATATTTTAAAAATTAATATATTGAAAAATTAATTTTTATTTTAATATATTAATATTAAAATAATATATTAATTTTTGAAAATTGCACTGGTCAACGATGTTAAACACTAACCTTTTATCAGTCCTTATCCCTCCCTCTTAGGCCGGATTAAGTTATACATCATTTTGATGTATTAAGGGATTCTGTTGTATAAGCTTATACTATATGATGGTTACATCAAACAACTGAAAATATCATAAAATATAGTATAAGCTTATGCTAGCATGTCTTTTACGTCACACGATACATGTCGTTTATGTTGATGCGGAGTTTACAAGGTTAGCCACCAAAATTACCATGAAGTCCTTGTTTTTCTGCATCAATATCCTTTAAAATTACTAAAATGTACACGGTAGAAGACAACTTGCATTCGCTTTGGGTTAATACTTTCACAGTGCACACAGCCAATTGAAATTTGAAAGCACTGCAGTAATGGGTCAAATAGGTGCAAGTGTGGAACCTATGTTTAAAGTAATTTTAAATCCAACCAATCTCATTCAAATAATAATAAATAAAAAAAGAGTTAAACAAAAAAATTTAAAACTAATTGACATCGGAATTCGGAACACACCGTTCTTTGAATAATATTTTACCTACAAAAAAATTCATATTATACATATTTATTCAAAATTCTTTCTGTAAGATTTAGATATGTGTTATTAAATTGATAATAAATATATGAAATTAAATTTAAGATTCAATTTATATTTTAATGAAATATTTTGATTTTTTATAATACTTTATATTTTGCGGGATTTATACTTTTAAAAACTCTTACATAAACCAAAAAGATACATTTAAGTTAAATTTGATTAAATTTAGGTTTTCGATAAACTCTTACATAAAATGAATGTATGTGTATTATATATATTAGGAAAAAAAACTTTTTATTAGAAAACATTTTATGAAAAAAAATATTTTATACATATTGAAAGAAAATTATGTGTGTGCACGTGTGAATGCACATGTGTTGACAGGATGGGCAAAAATGAGTCAATCTTTTGGGTTGGCTCGTAACCCGTTAAAAATGAGTCTGGTTGGGTTGACAAAAATGAGCTGCCAACCCGACCCGAGCCAACTAGTGCAAAAACGAGCCAATTCGCGAGTCAAACGAGCCAGCTCGCGGGTTGAGATTTTTTTTTATAAAAAAATACAAAATATAATGTAAAAAAATGGACAAAATTCACACATACTGTCATCATTTTTCTTTCTTTTCTAAACCTAAGTGCCTAATCTTTTCACACAATTTTTATATTGTTAGGCTGTGCTGACTTTGTTTGGTTCAAATATCTTACTCATTTGATAGCAAGTGGTTCTGATTGTTTCTTGATGTTGATGCAAATTTGTTGTGAAGAAAATTCGAAACTAAAATATTTTGCTTTTATTTCTCATTTTGTAACCCTTTGTTTAAGCTAATGGAAGTCGCATAGCTGGTGCATTAATACTACAGGGTCATTTAAATAGGCTGAAAACGAGTCAACCCGCGAGCTATTTTCGAGCCAATCCGCGAGTCAATTTTCAAGCCAACTCACGAGCTATTTTTTCAAACCAACCCACGAGCCAAATTTTTGAGCCAACCCTAACCCGACTCGTGGCGGGTTGGATTAGATTTTCTGGCTCGTTTTTTTTTTTCGAGTCAATCCTAATCCAACTCGTTTTTTTCGGGTTGAATGCGGGTTGGGCCGAGTTGGTCCGTTTTGCCATCCCTATGTGTTGAGATTTCATGACTCTGACGTAAGAATAAGAAGTTTTATTCTTCACCTCTACTATTGATTCATGTACATCTGACAATTGTAATTTATAAAAAATTAATTCATAAATATAACTCAATAAATTACAACCATCATATATACAGAGTTTAATAGTTGGGATCATGGTTGTTAAAATCCCGATTTAAATCTGCGATTTTACGATTTTACGATTTTTTTTACGTTAGAATTTTACGATTTATGATTTTTTATCCTCCTTCCGATTTTAGATAGAATCCCGATTTTAACTACCATGATTGGGATGAAGAGTAAAATTTCTTGTTATTACACTCGAGTCAAATTATTGTGTATACATATATTAATTAATTATTAATTCAAAATAATCTTTAATTGTTAGATGAATAAAAATCAATAGCTTAGATTAAAACAAAAATTAGAGTCAAAGATCATACTCGTATATATATATATATATATATATATGGGGAGGGTTCTTTTGACTCCAGAGTAAGACTTAAAAGTCTTACTTCTCATCGCAGCCGTTGATTTACGGTCATCTAATGGTTATCATTTAATAAATTATAACAATTAATTATAAGCGTTAGATGAACGGAAATCAACGGTTGTGATGAAGAGTAAGATTTTTAAGTCTTACTCTTGAGTCAAATGATCCCTCCCCTATATATATATATATATATATTTCTACAGCCACTTTAGATAACATTATCTACAACTACCCTTTTTAAACTAAGTCTAACCTGCAAGACATAGTTATAACAATAAAGCTATTTTTTTCTCTCCTCATATATTGTCGGCTGACGTGGCGGAGAGAAAATGCAATTTTTATCTCTTACTGATAAGACTTAATTAAAAATGGGTAATTGCATACAAGTATTCAGCCTTATCTAAAGTGACTATAGAAATGTTTAACCCTATATATATTTGGCTTTATTTGTCTTATGTCGCGCTGCATAGATTTTGATTTTCCAGTTGACCCATTGATATTTGTGTCTCATTTTTTTTTTTTTTAATTTTAAAAATGATGGACCCCACAATGATTATTTCTATAGCATAATATAAATAATTTGCAGCACAAAAATCATATTGCATTTTCTCTAATAGTATAAGGGCTTTATTTTTCTCCTTTTAAAGCCCATAGTATAATCCTATTATAAGAAAATATTTATTTATTTTTTGCTCTGTGGTTAAAAGTAGTTAAATTGATTCAATCTATGAAATAAAAAAATTAAATTGATTTTGAAAAGCATTTCGTGGAAGAGAATTATTTTTTTGTAAGAAAATATTAGTCTCATTCAAAATATATATTACTTTAATGATTTTTCAAATTCTTTAATTCCCCTTAATTTAAGTTATAGAACTAAAAGTTGTCTAAAATTGAAATTAATGTCATAAAAAATTGTCTAAATTTATTATATATTTTTTTTTAAAAAACGATTGTACATTATTTAATAACTTTAAATCTAAAAAAGTTATTTAAAAGGTTATATTTTTAAAATAATATATTAGTATATAGCATAGTAATATTGAAAAATATCATATTAATAGTGGAATAAAATTACATTCATATATTTATAAACAAAATGAATATAATTGTGATCTATTGGTAATATAAATTCTTTTTATACTGTCATTTTGTGTGTTTTTAGATTTTGACTATTGCAATTAATATATAGGATATTTTTTTCAATATTATTAATATAACATAAGATAATAGTATAAATTTTTTAACATATAATTGATCAAACTTGAACCCAAATAAAATTATATATCATAGTTATGTTACCTAATTACAATAACAACATTTTGTTGCTTTTATGGTAAAGAAAAATACACAGTGAATATATTGGCAAAATTATTTTCATGATTTAATATTATATTATTGTTTCATTTTAAACATTTTTTATAAATATAAGTGATTGTACTAATAATTCAACAGTTATAAAAATTATTTTTATTAAAAATATAGATAATATTATTTTTATCAAAATAAATTTTTAAATAAAAAATAATCATAAATTATTATTTATAGACTTAAACGAAAAGTTGTATAAGAAATCAAATGGGAGAAAAATTTGAAGGGATTAATATTTCTCGAATTGTAAGAGATAATTTTATGTTCTACTCACACATAAAAGTGTACGAGCTTCATGTGAAGATAAGAGGAAGAAAAAGAAAACATGGGTCTCATATATTTTTATATGTATAATGTAAGAACCCGCACCGTTAATTAAGAAAATTAATCAGTTAATTATGAGTTTATTGAGATAATTCCCTAATTGACCATAATAATTATTATGAGGCTCTAATAATTATAGTAAGTGAGTAATAATG